TGGTGGCGGTGGATGACCCACGATTCAGATCCATAGAAGAGAGTAGACAGCACAACGGCTCTGTAAACACTGATCTTGGCACTTTTCTTCAGGTGTTTATTTCGCCAAACTCTTTGATGGAGCCTTCTGAAAGCTCTCCATGCCTTTGCTAACCTGTTGTGTATCTCTCCGTCAATCTTACCATCCGAGGAGATGAGGCTGCCTAGGTAATTAAACTGCTGGACTGATTTGAGCTCTGATTGGCCAATGGTGATATGGGGATGATGGAAGACTTCCCAAGATACAGGTTGATAGAGAACTTCTGTCTTCTTTAAGCTGACTTCCAGCCCAAAGAGCTCAGCAGCATCTGCAAAGCAGGATGTTAAACGCTGCAGGGCTGCTTCTGTGTGGGCAACAAGGGCAGCATCATCAGCATAAAGCAGCTCCCGGACAAGATGATTTAAGGTCTTAGTGTGGGCCTTCAGTCACCTTAGGTTGAAAAGGCTTCCATCAGTACGGTATCGAATGTAGATACCGCCCTGATCATCAAGGTCTGCAATGGCCCTTTGGAGCATCATGCTAAAAAAGATTGTGAATAGAGTTGGTGCAAGAACACAGCCTTGTTTCACACCACTGGTAATTAGAAAGGGCTCAGAAAGAGCATCACCATATCTGACTTGGCCGTGCTGATCCTCATGAAGTGAGATGATCATTTTAAGGAACTTGGGGGGACATCCTAAATGTTCCAAAATCTGCCACAGACCTTTTCTGCTCACAGTATCGAAAGCCTTGGTGAGATCAACAAAGGTTACATAGAGACCTTTATTCTACAACCAGATAACCAAAACTGAAGTGAATGAGTAAATGACTTGCACCACAGTGGTCCAGACAGAATTCACAAATTGATTTTACTATGCCAACTTCCCCTATAAATCCCAATTTACTCAGATCACATAGAGCAAAGCTGCAGAAGGACAAGCTGGCTCCTTTTCACTCGAATTTTAGTGGTCAGAGCACTGACACAGGGTGGGGAAAGTACCAGTAAACCTCTCATTCGCTCTGCTGAGTGCCTTTACCACTGATTGGGGGGTGAGCAGGTAACTCACGATCATCTGCCCTGCAGTTGTGTCATTTCAAGTAGGACATAAAGTGAAGGCTATTTGGAGTTACTTTTCTTGTCATTGGTACAATCTTTTTAATAGGAATAGCTCTTACCTGTTTTCTGACAGGTTAAGCATCTTAGACATTACAAATCATCCCGTCATATTCTGGGTCTAACTGGTAAAAGAGAATGCAGTAAGCAAACAAACAAAAAATCAGGCCCAGTCACTCCAAATGTCCAAGATGCCATGATCCCGTCTCACTGCTGAGCACTACTCTGGCTATAGGCCCATTTACCTTACAAAAGGAGACCTTCCTGCTGATACCAAGTTTGGAAAGACGGGAGAGGTCAAGCCCACACCAGTGACCTCACCCTCCCATGACAGGATGTGTTCCTTCCTGTGTGTTTCCCCTATCTGGAACACGTTACATGAGTGGTCATTTAAAATAAACAAACATATTTTAACCTAATCAGGTATTGAAGCAGAAAAATTTTACCAGCTCTCATGATTAGTCAGTTTGTATGCTAAAATGAGTCAGGAAAAAGAGAAAATATCACTTTTGAATGCTGCAATCTCATATTGTTTTCCACTGACATTGCACTGTCATTCAACGTAAACCTCATTCAATCCCAAATAACACAATAATCCCAAGAGTTCTTAAGAGATGAACATAAAAGAATTAATCACAATGCTTCTGTTGTGCTGCCTTGCTATAAAATGGATTTACATAGAGACAAAACAAAACAAAACAAAAGCCTTTTCTCTTGTTCTCCCTCTCTGACTCTTATTTTCCTTTAATACTCACTTGTTTCTTTCTTTCTCCTCGTTTCTTTCTCCAGTAACAAGAAACTTTTGTAGCTGGAGTAAAGCAGAACTGAAGTAGGCAGCAACAGAATGGACAGGAATTACAGATAAACTCAGAAGCAAATGATTTAAAAAAACCACTTCCATAGCAAAGGAGCAGGTCAGGAGATAACTGATCACCAGTTGAAGGCAGTAGCAGATAGAAACAAAAGATGAGATGTCAATACAGGTGACCTCCAGCATCCAAGACCATTTTGTTCTTTGTCCATGCAGTAGCTGTGAAGAAAGATGAAGGTCACCCTCTCACTGTGCTTTCTGGTGGCCTTGCTTCACCTCAGTGTTCACAGCCTGACCCAGACTGACCACCACAGTGACCAGCCCAATGCAACTGAACCCCAGGAGCAACATTCCCACGAGGGAGATCCTCTTGAGTCCTGCCAGCGGATAGTCCCCAGCAACACAGACTTTGCCTTTCGGTTTTACAGGCAAGCAACCACCCAAGAACCTGGCAAGAACATTTTCTTTTCCCCAGTCAGCATCTCTGCTGCCTTTGCCCTTCTGGCCCTGGGCTCCAGAGCCACCAGCCAGGCTCAGGTGCTGGAAGGACTGGCCTTTAACCTCACCAACATTCAGGAGGAGGAGATACATGATGGCTTTCGTCATCTCCTCCTCTTGCTGAACCACCCTGGCAATCAGGTGCAGCTGAGTATGGGGAACACCCTGTTCATGGACAATCACCTGAAGCCACTGAAAACATTTCTGAAGGACATCAAAAAACTGTACAGAGGAAATGTTGTTTCTAGTAACTTCCAGAATTCCACTGAAGCTAAAAAAGAGATCAATGATCATGTAAAGAATGAAACTCATGGGAATATAAAGCAAATACTTAAAGAACTTGATCCAAACACACTAATGGTAATTGTTAACTATATTTATTTCAAAGGTAAGTTACATAGATGCTACTTACTGCAGCACCTGCTTCACCTGCACTAAAACAAATATGCTAAATTATTTTTGAATAATTTTTTTAAAAAAGGCAAGTGTTTGGAGGAGGCTATCACGAAAAAATATTGAAAGTTCTCACACTTTGAAATGTCTTCCATGTCTAAGTTTTTCTAGCATATGTCTAGACTTCTAAGAATAAAAGTCCATTTATTTGCAATCTTCAAGTATAGGGAATTGCCAGAGCACAACAGATTCATGCATAGTTAAATTTTTCCATCAGACTTCATCTACTTATTATTTTTAAAATTAAAATCTTTTCACATGCTGTACGGAGTAGAAAACTAAATTCTAGAAATGCTGATTAACAAAAATTACCAAAAATTTTAATTTATATACAGTCCATGTCTAAAATGGGTGGGTACCTCTAGAGTTGAAGCCTAAATGTTCTACAACTTGTCACCACATTATACATATCCCAAGAGGTATTAGTGAATGCATTACTTTGACAATGATTAACTTCTTAGATGTTATATCTATTTGTAGCAGCATGCAGGACACACATAGAATTTCCACTCAGAAATGAATGTTTAGAAATAGATGAACTTTCAGCAAAACAGATTTTATTTCAAGTTCTTAAATTAAATTTGGATGTAAGGAACTTAACATGTCACCTTTTAAAGGGCAGACATCTGCTGTGAAACTTGCTTTACAAGCAATATTCTGAAAACAGAGAGCAAGTCACTTCATCCTGGTCAGCTTTCATTTGCTTCAAATAAAACATAAGGTAATATGAGGGATTTACTTCATGTAATTTATCTGACTTAGAAAGGTGTTGTACAAGTCCCTACAAAATTTAACCTGAGATATTTCGTTGTTGCTGAACGTAGGAGAGCAAAGATGACAGGGAACAAGACTTTTAGTAAACTCGTAACACCTTTTATCTTCAAGTAAATCTTCAGATATGGGTTTATCTTCAAGTAAATCTTCAGATATGGGTTTATCTAGTGTACATTAGTCTAGACTATATTAAGATATTCTCCTTGAAGTAAGTATTCAACTGCATTATTTCTCTTTTGGTTTTAAGCCTACTGGGAAAATCCTTTCAGTATTAGGGGGACCCACAAGGATTATTTCCATGTGAATGCGAAGACCTCAGTTGAAGTGAAGATGATGACTCGAGATGGATTTTATAAAGCATACTCTGACAGGAAGTTGTTTTGCAAGGTGGTGCAGATTCCTTACAAAGGAGATGTTGCAGCACTGTTTATCCTGCCCAATGAAGGAAAAATGAAACAGTTGGAACGTGGCCTGACAAAAGACACAGTGTCTAAATGGGAAAAATCACTTCAAAGACGGTAAATATAGAACTTTGATTTGATGATTCGAGGTAGTCAGAATCCAAAGTCTGAATACTATGATCAGGTTTTACAGTTACAAGCCTGTGATGTTGATGGGAGCTTTAAGCAATGGAATAAGTGTAAAGAGTCAGACCAAGTGATTTGATGATTTGATACTTTCAGCACAAATTGGAATCAGCATTGCCTTATGGTAAGGGAAGAGGTCTGTGAGGTGGAAAACTAAATTTTTTTCCCCATATTTTTTCTAGTCGATATTAAGTGTCACCATTTCTCTTGTCTTAAGCACATTAACATAATGCAGAGCAGTCAGATCACTCAGAGGGAATGGGGTGTGAATTCCAAAAGAAAAACCATCAAGGTTAGAAAAGAAATGCAAATTTTGTTCCAAAAATGCTGGCGGCACCACTGCTTTTGTCTTACCAAGTGACTGTGTTGCAGAATCATACAAGAAAGCCCAACTGATATTTTTCTCCTTCCATACTTTCCTTATCCTCCAGACTATCATCTTCCCATCTTCTTTTTCTTGCCATCTCTTTTAGATTAAAAGACTAGCATTTTAGCACAGAAGAACCACCAGCAAGTTGGGAATCTTCAGTCTAAGGCATGCTTTGATTGCAATAACTACCATAATTTTCTTTTGAATTAACAGGAGGATAGAAGTGCATATTCCAAAACTATCAGTTTCAGGCACCTATGACTTAAAGAAGATCTTAATGAATCTGGGTGTAACTGATGTGTTTTCTGATCAGGCTGATCTGTCTGGAATCACAGGAAACCTTGATGTGAAGGTTTCAAAAGTAAGTTTGTCATCAGAAACAACAGTCTGTGGATTCCTTAACACCCGAGTGCCTTACCCTAAGCTAAGCTGTGAAATTTTACTTATTGCTAGGGCTGGCTGATACTCTGAAATAGAACATTTAGCTGATAAAGTCACTGTAAACTCTCTCAGACTTCTCCAGGATCTGGAGATAAGATCTGTCTTCTGTCTGACAGGCAAAGGTGGTGGGAGGGTGGAGAGGTGGGTTTAGCACTTTACCGGAAACTGAACACAGCACATTTTCTGCATGTGAAAGTGTCCATGGATAACTGTTGGGGATGTCTTGCATCAGCATATCTACCAGAAAAAGCAGCCTTTTTCCAAGATGCATTGTATAATTTTAAAGGATTTAAAAACTGATGTTATTATCAAAGGCTCTGATGAGTGCTAATCATGTAAGATGGACCAGACTTGAGGAAAACATCCTACTTACTGAAAATAATGTGAAGACAAAGACTAGTATTCTTACAGCCATTCTGAAAGCAGCACTTACAATGTTCTAACATCTTGGGGGTAGTAAAAGAAAAATATTAAAAATGCCCAAAAATAATTTAATAACAAAGAGGTTGTAGTCTACTGGCTAAATTGTAAGGCATGTGTTGTTAGGAATACATATAGAGTGGTTCTGGAGCCTGGCTTCCTTTCCCTTTGAAACTGTCATTCCTTGTGAATTTGCTTGAATATTCAGTTAATTCCACAAGACGTGCAGTGGGTAAAGTCTGTATTGGATGCACTTGTGGTGAGGAACACTGAACGTGAGAATACTTGCTTATTGAGACACCATTGCTAAAAAACCAACCATGAGCTGTAGTGCCCTTCTTCCTGGTTCCTGGCCTACCAGCAGTTTTTGTGAAAGGTAGTAGTTGAATTAACTTAGTGTTACTTTGAATCATTTCACAGTGCATCCTCCACATACATTAATTCTTGCCGTATTTTATTGTAGGCTGCTCACAAGGCCCTGTTGAAGATTCATGAGAATGGCACAGAGGCTGCGGCAGTCACTGGCATAGATTTTCTTCCTCATTCTGTTCCTCCTATTGTTAAGTTCGACCGTCCATTTTTGCTGTTGATTATTGATCAATATACTCAGAGCATCCTCTTCATGGGAAAAATTGTAAATCCAACTGAAAAATGACTGGTCAGTGACTGGTCTTATTGATTTGAATTGTATTTTATAAAATTATCATTTCTTATGTTTAAAATTATATCAAAACAGCTACTAACAATTTTCTTTTTCCAAAGAAGTCAAGTAAGAGTGTGTCTTAAAAACACTGTTCTTGCTTTCTCCTTCAGTAGAAAGTAACAACTGACATACACCTGTTAATGAATTATGAAGAATTTTGTAAATCAGCCTTTTAGTGATAAGTGCCATGTTTGAAAAGCAAGGTAATATCCAGCTGAGACAATCAGTTTAAAACACTGTAAATAAATAAAGTACAAATTAAGAGGCCATGTCTGATTTGTGGGTAGGAAGGAAAGAAAGTGCTGAGGTTTGCTCCAGCTGCTGCTGGTTCTCACCAGGCCCTGGTGCTGAAGGGCTGATGTGGAAATTTAAAATACAAATGTAGTCCACTCAGGAATATTTTAGTTCTTCTCTTCCATGTGAATGTTATTGATGAAAAAAGTCATGTTCTATTTCCATGAGAAAATGATTTCTCCCCTCTCTGAGGATGTCTGTGTCAATTTGACACACCTTTCCTAACGCAGCCTTACGAATCCAAGGCAGTGTCAAAATCCAAATCCAAGACTTGGCACTTGAGAAGATATTGAGCAAGACAAGAGATGGATGCTGACAGAAACAGAGCCAGTCTGGTGTGATGTCAGCTTGGCTCCCTCCCTGTTCCATCCTGTGGGATCAAACGCAGATGCTTAAGAATGATAAACATATTTAACACTGCTCAGGGGTATAGCAGCATGGACTGAGGTTAAAAAACCAGACTCTTCTCAGTGTGTTGGACCTGATTCAATTTCTTTAAATATAATGAAACAGGTGAACAGGAATTTAATTTTTTTAATCAGAAATTTGAGTCAATAGTGTCATGAGTTCAATTTGATAATAGAGCAATTACTATCCAAGAAGGAGCTACTCTCTAGAGTTCAATCTCTCCAAGGTAACTGTTGCCTACCCACACCAGTCTGTGCAGTTAGAGAATCTGCCTTGAGTACAGGATATTCAGGAACATTCATGGTCAGACGTACCCCTTTCCTGAAGGCAGTCAGTCTCACACCTCCAACATCCTAAACTCCAGGCTGGTCAGGCCAACCCTTGCAAAAGGATAGCTAGCATTGGACCTGAAATTCTGGCAAGGATTTTTGCCTGGAAGATGGAAATACAAGCCTGCCCTTCCATGGATGGAGAATGGGTTTGGTGGATAAATCCAAATGAATTCTCTGCAAAATACACTGTTGAGTAGGTAACGGCTGAAGCAACTATAGCTTCTGACATTGGTAGGGTTTCCAGTAAAAGGAAGGCATAGCTGCAAACCACACACTGGGAGAGTCAGTCACTTTCAGACCATGCCTAGGGGCTTCCTTTGAAGGTCAAGTCTTTTGCTATACTCCCCTTTATGACACTCACAGCTGATGGCATCCACCCACAATGTCTTGGCTTCTTTGAGTCCCCCTTTAAGTAAGAAATGCTACATAAACATCCTAAGTGGAAGCAGTGGCTAAAGTAGAGCTGCAGAATGCTTTAGTCAGCTAAATACACAAAAAGTGTTACTAAAATTGTGTTATAGACTTGATCATGTATTTCTTGTAAATAGAAGTTCCTCTAAACAGAAGTTCAGAAGCAATAGAGTATGAATACCTGGAAGGAATAAAACAAACATTGAGATTAATCATATTTCCAGAGTTTACATCTATGCTAGTAAATAAAGTGCTCCAAGATCTGTTCTCTGACCATGAGGTCAAATGGCTCATCACTGCTTATATCCACATTGCTTAACTCTAACCCTGCATGTCATCCAAGCTGCTTACTGGAAATACCCCCTGGCCTTTGCTAACTCCAAAAGCATGCTTAGCACTTGTTTGGAAGAATCATAGATGGCATGTGTCTGAAACTGTACTAAAAATATAAGGATGTGAGTGACTACAGGCTGATGGCCAGGTCTGGGCCCCAGAACTGCTCAATGTACTGGGACAAATGGAGCCAGAGTGAACAACTGAGGAGCCAGAAAGTGTCCCTCTGGCACTTAGCCCTATAAGCTCCCACTCTGCTGGTGATCTGCATTTTTTGAATGACACTAAGTTCCAGGTCATGCTGATAGGCCTTCACCAGCTACTTCTGAACAGTGAGGGAACTGGAGCCCCTTTGCCCTTCTGTGGAATAAGATTAGGAAGTTCAGGAAACATCCTTCAAAACTACTGTAAGGCACAGATTGTGAGACTCCCATGTACTTAGCATAGATGTGTTTTGGTGGTTTCTTCTAAATAGTCCTGTGCATTTGTTGTCACAGTAACTGTGCATGCTTATTTTCAAAAGGCTGCTCCTCATTAGGAATTTATGCTGGTCCTCAGACGATACAGCAATGCTTTGATGATGCAGATACCTTTAACATTTCACAAATGAGCACACAGAAACTATCATGAAGCACAAGTTTAATTCTACTGCATTGTAATATAAATGAACTCAAAGGCAATTTAAAATGTGATAAAACTTACTGTGGAAGTATAGACACTGTCCATCATCTATATCCGCTCCTTAAAAATACTGAAACCAAGATTTTTGTTATGATCCAGAAAGTATGTCACTAGTTCAGAGACCTAGCTGCTTGCTAGGTGCAGCCTTACACTTCAAACTGGAATGAGCTGGCAGAAAAAGGCCGTTGGAGATTCTCCCTTGGCAGGTGGACCCCTTGTTGAGAAAGACTCAGCACCCAAAGTCAATGTCACGCAGCTGTCCTTCCAACTGTGCAGAGGCAGGCAGAGATGGAGGTGATAAAATGCACAGCTCCTCACTCCTCAAATCTGACAGTGATGTTAAATAAAGCAGACCATGGCTGCAGTAATACCACTGCCAAACTAGTGCTGAGTCAGACAGATATAACCAGATCCCAGGTGATTAATTCAACCTCAAAGACAGTGCCAGACTAAAGGCAAACTCATATTTTTTGATTGCTAAAAATTTTTAGAAGCTATTTTACTGGCAAGTCAGAAAGACAAATGTTGCTATAACCTGATAAAGCCATAGAGGTTCTCAAAGGGCCAGATGGATGAATTTAGGAGTTGTTTCTGGAATGGTACCCAGATATGAAATCTACTTACAATTAGATCAAGAAACCTTGAATTGATTCTGCTTTTTCTTTATACATAATTGCATGCAATGCTCCTTTGCTGCATGTGAGCCTGTTGTCCCTGACTGTCAACAGTCCAGTGGCCACAAGCAGTGTAAGAAAACTAAGCACCACAGGAGCAGCAAACCCACAATGGAGATTCTTTTGGGTCCTGCAAATGGAAAGTCCTCAGGAACACACACTGACAGCCGAAGAAACCGGCAAGAGTGTTTTCTTCTCCCTGGTCAGAATCTCTGCTGCCTTTGCTCTGCTGGCCCTGGTCTCCAAAGCCAGCAGCCAGGCTCAGGTGCTGGATGGGCTGGGTTTTAACCTCACTGACACTCAGGAGGGCACACCACTTTTCATTTTCTGTCATTTATTTTAATTCTGGGAGTTACATGTGCCATGTCTAAGTTCTTGTACCGTTGTACTTAATTAAGGGTTTTGGTCTGCAGTCTTAACTACTCGAGTTTGATGGAAAAAGGAATTCAAGCTAAGATTCAATTTGAGAGTAAAATTCTGGCCTCGCAGTTTACCTATTATTACTTATTTTTTCCCCTATTTTATTTGAGTGATTTTTATAAAACTTATAACAGCTATTTTGAAAAGCTTTGGTAGTGTTAAGTAGGTCTACAACACCAATATCTTCATCTGGGAAGGCAGTATGGAAAATACATTAGTAGAATTTGAGATGAGCTGTCAATGGCAGATTAACCATCTTGAACACTAAAATGCTGTTTGATTGACTCCAATGCAATACACATCAGGTCTTAAATGCTTGTATGCTCTTGGGAACCCTTTTTCTTTCAATGCTAGGAGATTAGGTACAGAAAAAGCAGAAAACATAAAATATTGTTTTCTGAACACTGATGAAATTATCATCTGAGGTAAAATGTCTGTTATGAGAAATGGAATCATAACTTATTTCCTTCTGAGACATAACACAGAAGAAATAAAATAGAATATTTATAAAACTTCCATCTAGTAGACTATGAGTTTATATGAAAATTTGGTTCAAGGATTCCTATTGCATTGGTGGAAGAAGCTGAAAACAAAATAGAAAAGGTCTGGCTTCTATTCCCAGTTCTGTCACATACTTTTGCTTAGTCTTCAGCATTTTTTCTTTCTGTCAGTCATGCTGCTTTTTGAAGCGGAAGCCTGGAGTACTTTCATTTTTTGGGGAGAAAAGGATGAATATTTGTAAGACGTGGAGAGCACATGTGGGATGCCTTTTACAGAAAAAGATAAGTATACAGAGAGGACTTGATTTTATTCTAGTTACAGCGGTTTTGCGATTATACCAAACTCCTGATTTTACTGGATTTATGTGTATCAATAAGTTTATTTAGATGAACTTTTCACAGATATATGTTGAATGATAGATCTTTATAGGATGAGGATTTATCATGCAAAGTACACATTCATCTTGCTCAATCCTTATCTTGCTGATATTTTCTTTTTGCAGTCATAAATCCTTTGCCCTGGAATACCCAGAAATACAACTTGCAAAGCTAGCACAATAATCTGATGACCAAACAGCAACAGAAATAAGTTAATGATATAGGATGAAACTGCTCCTGCAAGGAGGAACCAAGACATTGCATAACTGAGCAGACAGTAGGGACAGAGATAATTAAATTATTCCTTAATTCCTTTCATATAGACCACTATTAGGGAAATGGGAAAAGCATGTTTGTCAGTCCTTTCTATGAGTCCCCTGGCTCCTGGAGCAAGAGTCCTCCTGTCCCAGCTACTGCATATCTCAAAGCATCCAGGAGCTCCATACTCTCTTCTGTGTAATTCCCCTTGATGGATCTCCTTTCTGCAAAACTGCACAAAATTTCCAGCTTAGCCTTGCATTTCCCAGTGACACCTGTCCTGGGGACACAGACATTTTCACCTACAGGAATGTGCAGTGAATCAACAAACTGCTTTCCCTTCCCTGGGTTCTCACAGACCTGCCACCTGGCAGACATGCAGGTGATACCCACATGTGGTGATTCACCCTCATTTTCCATTGCATTCAACAGAAGAGACACGTTTTCCAAGAGTCTCTGTTTCTGGCACCTATGACCTAAGGGAGATTTTCAAAGGACTAGGTGTGACTGATGCATTCATTATCCATGCTGATCTGTCTGGAATTGCTGGGAAACTGATTCTTCGCAAGTGATCATTTGTGGGTCTGCTGTAACTGCTGACCTTGCCTAGGAAAAGACGGGTCAGATCAGAAAAGCTGGTGCCTGGGAGTGGTGAGCAGAGACAGATGCAACTTTCCACCCTTTCTCTGACATGCTGAGTGCTGCTGCACGTCCTGGGAGAAAGTAGAGGAATCACTGCAGCAGCTTTGCCATTCCCAGAAATTCATCTCTGGAAACAGTAGCATCCTTCAGATGATTAGCCAAGCATTAGGACTGGGCTGAAAGATTAATGCTATCTATGTAGGCAGGCCTAGACTTGAGGAAAATAGCTTCTCATTGCTAGAGTTAAGCAACAGTATACTTGCTGCTCCTGAGACTTGGTCCTTTTACATAATACTAAAATAAACTTATTGGGTACTTGCACGTCATGAAAAAACCCCTCTCTGCAGAAATACATTCTGACCAACCCTACCTCTGTCTTGTAAGAGAGAGTAGTTACATAGCAATAACTATGGTGGATTGATTCCTATGTGTAGATAAGTTGTAAGTTTACCTGGGGCAAAATCATGTACATTAGATGGAAATAATTAGTCATTGCTAATTAGGATGGGTGACATGCATCTCATCCTTAAATAACCTTCTAAATAGCTAAATTGTGCCTGTTTCAGCTTCCTCTGAAAGGGAACCCAGTGTAAGGTAGTATACAGTATGTATGTAATGACATATACTGTATGTATATAAATCATGCTTATCCTTTGCGTATATAACACGGGAGGGAAATGCTCTCCCCAGCTAAAATTTTGCTATGGGAAAGCTTGCCCATTTCATTCTTCCATTTGTTTTCTTATTTTAGCTATTTGTCAAGCTATACTATACTTTACTTTTTGCTCTAGTAGTTTTTAAAATACCCATCAAAGGTGTTTCAAAAACCTAACCAGTGTTCTGACTATCTGACAGCTGTTGACCGAGGGACCGGCTCCCCACTGACAGCCTCTCAGAGACGGGCCCGGATGGTGCTAGCCACTGTGCCGGGTGGCAAAAACCACGATACTCACACTCTGAGCATCCGATGATGAAAAGCCTTTATTCAAACAGACAGAGGATTTTTAAGGCTTCTGGGGGAAGGCTCAGGAAGTGGGATGTGATTGGGTAAAGGTTCAGGGGAAGGAGGGGGCTTAGGTACTCAGCTAGCCAATGGGAGAAACGGGAGGCTCAAAACCCAATAGAAACCCAGGGATTTGGGAGAGACGGGTGAGACCACCAATGGGATTAGGACAGAGGCGGGGCTGGCTCAGTGGGCAGGACAACATGGCGCTGTCCAGGGAAGCCGCGTGGGTGCTGGGGCGGGGGGGGGCGGGAATAACAAAACTTAAAGTGAAACCATACAATAACAACCACAAGTCCTAAGCTTAAACTGTAAGTGTCTCTAATTT